CCCCCCCACACACACACACACACACACACAGTAGATAGACAGACAGACAGACAGACAGACAGACAGACAGACAGTCAGACAGACAGACAGACAAACAGACGATCGTTCTTATATTCTTATTTATACATTTATGTCTTTTGGGAGACCGAGAAGAAGGCTGATTTAAATGCATTGTAATAAAGTATTTTTGAATTTGAATTGAATTTGAACTTTTTGTTTGTTTTACATTAACAATATCTAATTTCAAAATGTAGCCATGGTTAAGAATGTTATTTTTATATTCGGACCCATTTATGCCCATAGACAACTTAGCTCTTGACTGCTTTTCTACATTACAATGTATATTATTGCCCTTTTACTTTTGGCAGTGGGTGGTATTTAATAACTATCATTATTCTTCAGTTGTCTTTCCTATGGACAAAAGACCAGCCACTAACTCAAAATGGAGCAATATTTAAAATTCAAATTGCTTTGCTATTTTGTATCAAATAAAGTCAACCATGTTGACATGATAACCTAAACCCAGCTACAAAATTGTATATGTTTGCTCTTTGAACTATGATTAAAACAGTAAATTGGTGTCTAAAATGCTGCAGAGGTACAGAGACAATATTAATAGTTGCAGGTCTGTGTATCCAACTGAGTCCACCATGACCATGTTGTTCAGTGCAGGACAAATAATGTGAAAATCGCATTGCTCCGTCTGCCCTTACTGACCAAGCAAGTACATACTGTATATCTTTCAGTTTTCTGGTCACCGAGGAGATGATAGTTTGACATTACATTCAGTATAGCTTTGCTTTTATCTGATTTCCAGCAAGTCCACTGTCCGATGCTAGATCCAGGCTCTCCTTTACTGTTCTCATCTCAAAGGAATGTTGACTGGCCGATAAGAGATTGGCACTGTTGTTGCTGTCTGACATCAGTCTACATGCACACAGCAGTTCCCAGGAGGCAAAACGCCAAGGCAGTCATTCCATTGGCTGTGTGATCAGAATCATAAATCAATCCATTTTTCCTGTCAATCTGTCACACCAGATCATACAGCAGCTAAAGTATGGTGGCTCAGATATGGGTTTCTGGGACAGAGTGTTTGGTTACAAAGAAAATCTCTTTAGGGGCAGAGAAGCTCTAGCCCAGATTCTCACAATAAACTTTCCTGTCCTACATTTTTGTCAAGTAAGCTATGTAGCTGGTAGTTTTGCTTTTCATGACACTTTCCACAATCATTTGCATTGGGATATCAACCCATCAGAAGGTAGCAGAACCCTCCTGAGTATTGCACTCTGAGGAATATTGGAATTTTGTATGTTTTTTTTGTAACACAAGGGACATGAGAATTCCACATAAAGCTTAGGTTTCTTGTCATTTTATGATAATATTAAAAGGTATTAAATGTCATTTTTAGCACTTTCCCCCCTCTTACCTAAATATAATTTTGATAAATGTCAATATATGTGTAAGCAGTTTCACAAGATCCGTTTGTCTTTATCTAATGTTTTTGAAGAAAAATGTTAAGCCATATGGAAGCAATTTTCAAATAACCTACTGATGCATCTGTTTTATATGAACAGTGAGACCTTTACTTTCAGATGTTTGTTGCAACAAGTGGAAAATGACTCACAACTATGCATATGAAATGTAATGCTTCGTACATGACGTTTGCAAGCAGTTCTTGTTAAGTCTCCTCTGTGTCCCTCCAAGTCTACATTCTCAGTAGCTTACATAGTGAAGAGGTCCAGAATCCAAGGAGGCAGACCCTTAGACTTTGTGTGGGAAGGTCTTGGCTATAAGTGGCCATTCCACTTTCAAATACTCTTTCTCTATGTTTCACAATCATACACACACTTACACATATATTTTCAATTATAATTTCAAGGCAGCATTTGAAAAGTAGTTTTGTTTCTCGAAAACAAACAAAATTCTAGTAGTCTTTCAGATGCTCAGAAACAAAAATATAAATGTTTGCACCAACAAATGCTTATTTTAATGTGAACATTGGACACAGACAGTCATGCATTTTATATCATCAAAGCAAGATCGAGACATTAACTTAAAAATATGCCTAAAGACACAATGACATATGTGTTTAGCCTCTGACAGCACTGACTAGGTTTTTAACCTGAGAACAGCTCTCAGTTATGCTATTTCTATGGCACATATGGGCTCTTGAATGGTCATTTCCTCCATCAGTGGAAAGTGCCCACTTTCCCCTTTCAGTCATGCGTCAACCTTTAATGACTTTTCCAGTAAAGACTGTTCCTGTGTTGAAACATGCACCATGACGTAAGGCAAAAGGGCCATATTTTATAGTCCGACTTTGTCTGACCATGAAAGATCTACTGCTTATTGTACCACACCCTGTATAATTAAAATCAACACCTTTTAAAGCAACTATAAGAAAAAAAAGGAAACAGACCTGGACGATGGGTTAGTCCTTATGTTAAATTTATTCATGATTACAAATTGACCTTTGCTTGTTTTTCTGTATCTTCTCAGTATACTTAGACTTTTTATACAATACAATATTTGTTAGAGTAGATCAAGTATTTATTTATTTTTTTTCAGTCCACGAAAATAATATACTGGTGCATCCCTCCATTGTTTTATCCCCTTCTTCTTTGTGTAAGAGATGGGGTATACCTTGCAAAGGTCGCAAATCCATCCCAGGGCCCCATAGAGACAAACGAGACAAACATCCATTCACTCTCTCACTCATGAGGGACAATTTAGAGTTACCAGTTAGCCTAACATGCATGTTTTTGGTCTGTGGGAGGAAACCGGAGTACCCAGAGAAAACTCACATACGCATGGAGACAACATGCAAACTCCACAAAATTAGAATGTTTGTAAAATAATCTATGGATTTATTTATTTCTTTGTTTTCCCTCTGTTAAATTCTTCAGCTCTTCATTTTACCACCTTGTGTTTGTCCTTGGTCAACTCAACTTTTTTAAGTCACCATTCACCCCTCCCAGTATACTCCTTGGTTCCTCAGTAAATTGTCAAATGACCTGTTCAAGTCAATGCACTGTCTGTGGTCTTGGATTGGTTTAGCTTTTAAGGTAATATACCGTAATTTCCATTATACACGTTGCTCCGCCCTATAAGTCGCATCAGTCCATATTTGTCTAATAAAGTGGAAAAATCAATAAATATATCGCTTTGGCGTATACGTCACATCTATTATGCATCACCACTGATGCACCACGTTTGTTACGTGTCACCGTTGACAACCCGGAAATGTGGGCCAAACCCAGAAATGTACCGATGGACTGCCAAATGGTGGCCGCAAGAGCGTGCATGAGAGGACTTTAACAAGAACTTAACAAGATTAACACTTAAAAAAAATCATTTGTTTGCTCGAAATTATAGTAAATGTGTGTCTCAATGTAACGTTTTCTTAATAAATGCACTTTGAGGATCAAATCAGCTGTATGTCAAAACCCGATACACGAAAGTAAACGTGTGCACGCGACCAGTCGCTGTGCAAACTTAAAAAGATAAACGCCTCAAAACAATTATTTGTTTGCTCAAAATTATATTGAATGTGTGTATCAATCTAACATTTGCTTAATAAATGCACTGGAATGGTCAAATCAGCTGTATTTGTATATATATAAAAAAGAGAAACTTGAATTTGTATACCTATGTCTAATTTATGACTGTCTAATGTTGTCATCACTCTTTGTTAAGAAGTCAGGTCTGTCTTGTAAATGAGCCCCTGAGGCTCAATGGGATTAACCAAATCAGTTGTATTTATAAACCCGATACGTGGAAGTAAATGTGTGCACGCAACGAGTCGCTGTGCAAATTTAACAAGATAAACACCTAAACAATTATTTGTTTGCTCAAAATTATAGCAACGGTGTGTCTCAGTCTAATATTTACTTAATAAATGCATTTTAATGGTCAAAACAGCTGCATTTCGCCGGCGCACTGCAGCTGTTTTGTCAGTTCCAAACAACAAGCAGAATGAAGGTGGGGAGGGTATGGCAGGCCAATTAAGTCATTAATAGCTGATGAAGATTCTCAGTCATCCAGGACATGGTAAATTAAAAAAAGTTCAATAAAAAAAACAAGAAAGTATAAAATATAATAAATAAAGTCCTGTTGTTTTTGTCTTGAACCGTTTTGCATTTGTCATTATAGCCACGTTTACCTATTACAAGATACAACAGCATTCCACATATCTATTACACTCTGCTGCCATCAAGTGGCTGAAAATGGTACTGCTCTTTTTTTTTTTTTTCAGTCAGAATAAATGAAAACGGTCATATCTCAGCCAAAAAATGGTTTATAAATATGGGGGACAAATCCATAAATAATTCGCTTCAGCCTATAAGTAACAGGGCATGTAAATTATGCAAAAAACTGTGACTTATGGGCCTAAAAATATGGTACCTTTGTCTTGTCAAAGAGTACTAAATACTGTAATGTCCTGCTACCTTAGCTTTGTCTGTTTTTTGTTTTTGTTTGTTTGTTTGCTCGTTTTTATCACACTTCTTGATCAACAAGTCTCGTCTGTCTGTCTGTCTGTCTGTGTTGTGTTATTGTGCAATCACATTTGAATCAGTCAAATTATTCAGCCGCAATTGCAACCAAACAAACAGCTATTATCTTGTTTAAAGCAAAAAATATTTTTTTTACCAGAAAACATTCAAAAGCTTTTCTCAAAACAGGAAGGACTTTATAATTTAATGGGAAAAGGTGAATTTAAAACTTTAAAATTCAGAACCACAAGAAAAAAGCTTTTGTATATCTGTACGTGGGGTGAAGCTGCGGTATGGTTTAAGCATGGAAATCAAGCAATGTCCAAACATGAAACTGTTTCAAATGTCTTTCAAGAAGATGGTCATCACTGCATATCAATATGGGAAATAATGACTATTATTATTGCTATTATCAGTGTTAACAATTAGGGGTTTTATCATTTACTACTGCATTATGGTATATTGATCTAGAAAGAATTTTAACATGTTAAAAAATATATTGATCATAATGGCATGCAAATATGAATGCACTGAACCGGTTATAAATATGGATATATAAAATACTAACTAAAAAAGAATGTTATAACCAAGTTACCATGAATAGTAAATTATTGGACGATGCTATAGATGTAAGATGTGTGGGCGTAACAATAAGTTTATACTTCTATCTACCCACTCCTTTGAATGTGTAAATACAGTATAATTTACTACTGTTGTTTTTTTCTGTTTGCTTTTGTTTTAAATGCATTTTCTTTTTATATAACTTTGTTTATTCTTACTGTGTTCAATAAAGTTAAACTCAAACAAACAAAATATTTCACTAAATTCCATTCATTCCAGTCAAGTAAAACAATAAATTTACATTTTGGTTTCATAAAGTAATAAAATATTACGTTTTCCTATAATTGAAAATCACGTTGCTGTTTTTGTCTCCTGGCATCTGCTGGTGAGCCATCAGGAGAGTGCAGGTGTCTGATGACTTTTTGTGTTTTATTATGGGATCGGATTCTGACACATACATAAGCTCAGAAAAAAGGACTGTTATTTTAATTATTATGCATAAATACATCAAAATAGTGACCTAAAATAGACCTTTCCTCCTCACCATGGAATTATGCTGTCATCGTTTTTTTGTGCTAATATGCACTTGCCAGCATGTACTGTAATTATGAGCACAGCAGGGTGGAAAAAGTGAAAAGCAACCTGGGGGTCACTTTGATACTTGGGAGAGCACCAAAGCACACAGCAGTTAACACTGCAGATGATTTCAAATGGACCAGCTCATTGACTCAGTCTCTCACCAAGAGTCACTCGATTGTTCACATCATGGTTCAGTTGAGTTGCTCAGTGGCCTTGTGTATCCAGGCTTGCCTAAGCTGCTACAGCTGTGCAAACACACAGAGTAATAAACACACTACAACAAGCACACATACGTTCTGCCCACGTACAGACAACAGCATTCCCATGCTTGAAGACCCCCCCCCCCACCCCCCCATCCCCCAAACACACACATGCACTCACACGTACATACATAGAAACTGACACACAAACAGCTCTGATCTTCTTGACTGGTACAACCTAATTAACAAAATTCATACGTCATTAGAGTGGTCATTCTCTTTCCCAGCAATACTTTTTTTTTTTATAACCAGTAATTAATATCCATTATCAACTAAGCAGACATGATGTTGTTCAGTCAAAGTACAGCATCACTAACAAAAAAAAGTTAACAGCTGAGGTCAGCAGGTTTTATTCAGCATTTCAGTATAATGTACTTCAGTTATAAATTCACTATCTCTTTTTTTTAATGTTTGTTTGAAATTGAAACAACACTAATATGTTTTGCTATTAAATAGTACCTTGAATTTGTTTATAATCTTACAGTTTCTGACTTTGATGCATTGTAGCAGGCTACATTAAAATAAGATAATAGCTTTAGTCGCTCACCAAGAGGTTGCTTAACCACAACGATATCTTGTGTTTATGTTTGCTCTGACAGGCATTATCACAGTATGGATGAGTTCAGCCATTACGATCTGCTGGAGGTCAGTACTGGTCGTAAAGTGGCAGAGGGACACAAGGCCAGCTTCTGTCTGGAGGACACCACCTGTGATTTTGGACACCTGAAGCGTTACGCCTGCACTGCTCACACTCAGGTATAGTGCAAACAACCCTGATATTATAGAATACACAATTACAAAAAAAAGTCTGTTAAAAATTGAAGCTATAATTCTGTTGATCTTTTGCTCTGTATCCACTGTATCTCACTTGGATCAGTATTCCTTACGAGCTTCTCTCCTCTCTGTATCTGCAGGGTCTGAGTCCAGGCTGCTACGATACATACAATGCTGATATTGACTGCCAGTGGATCGATATCACGGATGTGAAACCTGGAAACTACATACTAAAGGTGAGACTCTATTGAGAATCAGATGTGTTTGGACAAGGACAGTTTGTGAACAGCGCAAGTTTACAATTCATGAGAATAAGAGAGGGTCAAGGCCATCATAACAAATAGATCCATTTTAAAAAGTTTTTGTTTCTTATGGTGAAAGTTTTAAAGGTTGTAGGTTGGTGTACTTTTATTTTTACACATACAGTATTTTGTCAAAACCAACATGATCACAAAATACATACATTTTCAGAGGTTTTTATTTTTTATTTTTTTTATCAGCTCCGATTTACGCCCTTTAATTGTTGAAGTTTTAGGTTTTGTTGAATTTAAAAATATGCCTCCTTCTTGTATCTACAGCTTCAGGTTAATCCCAAATTTTTGGTGCTCGAGTCTGACTACACCAACAACGTGGTTCGGTGTAACATTCATTACACAGGACGAGTTGTTACGACAAACAACTGCAAGCTGGCTCAGTAAGTTATACAAAATGTGTGTTTTTTTAATGTCAAAATTCCAAATGAATTCTTGGGACATTGGGGAATAGTTTAGTACATTTACAAGGGCAGCTGTGGCTGAGTGGTTAGAGCAGTCGTCCTCCAATGCAAGAGTTGGGGGAGTTCGAATCCACCAGCAGTCACGTGCCAAAGTGTCCCTGGGCAAGACACTGAACCCTTAGTTGCCTCTGATGTGTGTCCCATCGAGGCATGAATGTGATAAAGCTCTGATTAGTCTCTTTAGAATGATTTGTTCAATTAGCTTTGTAGAGATCTAGAGTTCTGTATGAATGGTTAAATGAGGACACAGATTGTAGTGTAAAGCACTTTGAGTATCTCAATACGATAGAAAGGCGTTTTATAAGTACAGTCCATTTACCATTTACTTAAAATGTACACATTATTTTCAAACTTCTCTTTGTCAAATGTAAATTTGGAGGTTGTGTCACTTAGCCATTACCAAGTTCCTCTCAGCTATAAAACTCAAGTGTAAGAAGATGCTGTTGTCTAAAGATTGACAATGTTTTGAGGCACTTAAATAACGTACTGTGTTTCGGGCTAAAATAAAAATTGATTATTAAATGAATTATGCTCACATTTACTCCTCAAGATTAACAGCCTGTACTGAAACGTTGATATTGTTCCTCAAAGGGCGATGTAAGGGTGTTAAACTTGCAAATAGCACTGTTAGGAAGTGAATCATTCCGCTCTAAATTAATCTTCTATCCTCTTGCAAAAGCCTTTGATACAAGTGGCTAAAAGCACTCAAGGCAGTCTCCCTCGGTTGTGCAAAGCAACAAACAGTGACAAAGTTTCTAAAAAAAAAAAAATCCAAATGTTAAAGAAAAGCTATATTTAGTATTTGTCTTTGAACAACTATGAGATCTTCTGTAAACGATAGGCATGTTGAAGAATCAGCAGTTGCTGAGATCTGTTCCATCATAATTACACAATGTACTGAAATCTTCTTGATGTGTTTGTCCTCTGATGAGGAGCAAAGAGGTGGAATTGGAAATACCCTCCGCCTACCCGTCCATCTTGTAAACTTGATAAATAAATTTAAAAAAAGTGACAGATCGAATTACATTTTGGTGTGTAGCTGCATCTAGGTGTAAGAAAAAGTACTATTTAAAATGGGGAATTCCTTCTTCTTGTTTCGACTTTTCCCTCTTCAGGGCTCACCACAGCCAGTCATCCTCCTCCATCTCTCTCTGTACTCTGCATCTTATGTCCACACTCCAACTACCTCCATATCCTTTCTAACTGCACCCTTTTTGGCCTTCTTCTTTGTCTTTGTCCAGACAGCTGCATTTCCAACATCCTTCTACCAATATACCCACTGTCCCTCCTCTGGAAATGTCCAAACCATCTCAGTCTGGCCTCTTTAACTTTATCTCCCAGTTGTCCAACCTGTGCTGTACCTCTGATGAACTCATTCCTTATCTTCTCCATCCTTGACACTCCTAAAGAGAACATAAAAACAATTAAATAGTAGCTGAAATAGCAGAAAAGTCTGAAACTTGCAGAAATAAGCTTAACGGAGCATAACAAGCTGAAATTAGCAGAAGTTAGAAGAAGCACAAAAGTGTTTTAGTTAGCAGAAAGAAAATGATAGGAGCACAAACCAGCTGAAAAAAAAAACAGTCAAACAATCAGCTGAAAATAGCTGAAAGTAGATGAAACAATTTTAAATGTGCACAAGGAAGCTAAAAGAAGCTGAACCAGAACAAAACGTGAAAGGAGCAGTTAAAGGTTGTAAACAGATCTAAAGATTTGAAGGATGTCAAATGAGCTCAATTCATTTTCTATGAGAAAACAATGACAGAAAAAACTAAATGTTTTTTAAAAAGCTAAAATTCCACCAATTCCAAAAATCTCAGCACCCTTCTGAATGAGGTGAAGGTTTTGATATATGATTTTTGGAAATAGCATGAAAATTGTGGTACGAGAAAATATTATGCCAAAAAAATGTATGGAAGAAAAATGGATCGCAATAGTGTGAATATTTCATAAGTATGCACACAATAAAACTTAACTGAAACCATTCGTCTAGCCTTTAAAGTTATAGTCTCTAAACGTGTGCTGTTTGTTGCCCGTCCTTTTCACAGGTCCTGATCCAGCACTGAAGACTGCCACATTGGAATGACCCTGATTGCTATTCCATTGAGATGTGAATGGAATCCATTTACTTTGGTTCATTTTTTTAGTGTTGTTTGTTTTCATGTGTTGCTTTATAAGATCCTGAGCCAACAGCAAACAAGAGTTCCCCTGACACGATAAATGTGGAGGTTTAAAGTAAACACGAGTCCCCCCACACCGATCTATAATGGATATTACACGTCGGTATTCCAACACCAGTTCATGGCTCTGCCTTCTATGTTAGACTTTGAAATGTCTCTTGTTGCACCAGCTTGGTCTTTTTGCGTTTTTTTTTTTTTCCACATCACTGGCTTAAAAAAAATAGTTTTTACAGTATATCCGCACAGATGAGTCTGAGCTCAACTGCAAACTAACAAATAAAATAAGAGAGAAAGTCTTGTGTTCTTCTGTGTATCTGTGCAGGAACAGACAAAGACGCCCATTGAGTCAGAAGAACTGTAATTTGTTCTGTTTTGTTTTTCTCTTTCTCTCTCCACTGCCTCAGCAAGTCAGGTTGGGATATTGTCACATTTTTTTCAGGCCCATCCTGTTCAATATTTTAACAGCAAGAGGAAGACAACAGGTCATAGATGCAGTTGTTAGTATCAAATTGTATGCCACCAGAACTGACAGACCATCAGTAATGGACACTATGTACTCTGAATTTTAGCATGCTGGCACAGTCTCCATGTTTCTTCTCTTATTTCAGTTACAACAATAACAACAAACTCCACTGTCAAAAAGGGGCCTTTTAATAAAGCTGCATGGCATGAATCATCTTCTACTACTAACACTTGTCAGATGGCACATGCTCCATCTACAGCATTTGAACATGGTTTTTACACATAGTCCTCAAAATATTTTATTTTAAGTAACCCATTTAGTTATGTTTATACATTCTCAAGTTACTGTTAGTGGGAATATTTTCCTTATTCTTGAAATAGACGTAGTAAAGTACTAATTAGAAAAATTAAAAAAAGAAGAAAAAGACCACTGCCATCTCTATCTCCCTCTCCAACTGGGCAAATTATTTTATCATTTGTTTCCATCAAATTTCCCTGCAATAGGTACTGTGACCACCTGTTATTTTAGCTAAATTTAAAGCTATAATGAGTTAATACTACAGTTTTTTTTAAGGTTTTCTTTTTTGTTACTTTTGCATAAATACTGAGGCTAATGGAGTACGAGCTCCATCAATTTAAAGTAATCTGATTTTCTATTGTGGAACTTGACAAACTATTTAGTTTCTTGGGAATTAAAAAAAAAAATAGCCAATGTGTTTAAAGTGTACACCCAAAAGTAACAATTTTAGCAGTGAGATAAAAATTCAATAGCAGAGGATAGATCGACTGTCAATGGTACTGTTTGTGAGCACTTTTCTGCACTGAAGCAAGACATTACAAGTGAATATTATATCAGAATATAACCTGCTTTAATTCATAACATGCTAATAGCTAATATGGCTATTAGCATTACCATTCCTATTGACGCTAAAATCCTTGAAACTGACCTTGAAACAATTTTAAATGACTTGCTGAAAAGTGAAATACTTCTTTGGATTATTGTGTGCACATTTGTTTAAATTTCAGGGAAAACAAATTCCTTACGCTTTGTTGTAAAACTTTTTCTTTAGTTTCTATCCAGAATTATGTAGTCTAATAAAAGGAGTAACATGAGCAATATATTGTGTTTTAATCAATTTTTCCATAGCCAATCCAGACTCTAGTTTAATGGCATGCAGCCTAACAAGTTGCAAGATTATTCAGAATGTTTAATGATCTCAGAAAAATAGAAACTTCTCAGATAATAATGGATGCGTTACATTAATCAAATACTCAACAGCAGAAAATATCAGTTCAATTTAAAATGTCTAAGTGCAAAATGTTGATTCATGTGTTTTATGACACATGTAACAACTCACTATGATGCTGGTCTTTTTCTCGTAGTCAAAAACTTTAAATTAAATTGAGAACCGATGCAAGAATTGTCCTCTAAAGGGAGGCAGTGAACTATGCTGATGGGTTTAAGGACTAGCTGACTCCTGGGGAGCAAAAGAGACAGAATGTGCTATAGGTTTTATGTCTTTGTTACATTTTTACTTTTTGTGGCTTCAAATCATAGTCCCATAATTTAAACTGTCTACTGTGACAAAGTACTTGTTTTGAAAAGTACCTAGTAACTTTTACTTGAATGCAAAACGTGTGTGGCACATTGCTAGATTGAACACCATCTGAACACTCTTAAGACATTACTTAGAGACTTAATGCCCAGTAATATACAATTATAAATAATTTCAAACTTATTAAAAAGCCTTTCGTACTGTATAAAGGTAAATAATAAGTGTAAAATATATACTGATCAAAATGTTTTTGAACAAAATCTTCAAAAGTTAATTTATTATGAAAAACTCAGATAAAAAAAAAAGAAAAACATCAAAAGTCATTATGAATTTAATTTTTGCATCATTACTAAAATATTGTACTTAGTTTGAAAAAAAGAAAAAAAAGTAATCCAGCCTTTGTACACCAATATGTACTGGGTAAATTATGCAATCCAACAGTTTATAAAGTGGTATTTAAAAAAAAAAGTGCTATCACCAAATTACATATTTTTTAGGTGTAATTTTTTAGATTTTGCCTACAATCTGCAGTTATTTCATTTTGTACTGTATCTATAGTTTTTTTATTCAATTAAAGTAGTACAAAATCCTAAAAGAAGCTTTAACTGTCATTTTATACCATACATAATGTTTAGGCAAGAACCCTTGCAGGACTATTTAGTGTACTGTGTACCACCTCAGCAGATTAGAACAAAAACAACAACAACAACAACAAAAAATCAGCA